CAACTAGGTGACAACGTAGCGTTAAATCACCATTCAACAGACTCAAGCCACCACCGCACTGCCGTCTGTTGGACTGCAGAAAGATACTAACTTTTCGATCTGCTACGTTACTGACTGTACTGACAAACTGTGCTGACACCATGTCTGTGCCACAACAGGATGCGACAAAGCGACCATTGAAAATCATTTGAACTTTGTGTCAACACGCCATAAATAGAACGAGGCATCAGTTTACTGCATTCAGTGAAGACAACATCACTGATTATAATGGGTTCTAATCTACACCGGATGCTAGCGGCGCGACGTGATGTGACCGATATGATAAGCATGAGTTCTGGGCCGCGGTGCGGCCGGTATAAACACCAGCATTGACTGAGTGGCCGCGATCAGCTCAGGTGGCCGTAACACAGGCTTTAATGCGCCGCAGACACATGCCGTGATGCGCAGATCAGCTCTAGTCTCTAACGTCACGGAATCTGCTGTTAAAAATGAACCATCCATTCATCATATCATCATGCAAAACTAAGAATTAGAATCATTGTAATGTGACGATCAAATATAGGTGCGGGTGGGTGGCGGGTGGATAATTTGAAGCAGCGGACTCGGGTGAAGTTTGAGTTCATCCGCGCATCTCTACACTACACTGACCTGGGTCGCCAGTAGCAAACAATGGAGCGCGCTCTGCTGGACAAACTAAGCAATTACACCATTCAGAAGCATTTAATCTGCGTTATATGTTCTGTAAAAAAAAATTTTTCATATCGGCAGCATATTCGCCGATACAGATATATCTGCGACAGGCTCATATCGGCCTATAATATCGGCAAAACGATATATCGGTCGGGCTCTAATAAGAACCAGAGGTTTGAGGCATGAGGGCTCTTTGTGCATGCATTTCCTGTTTGGAGAAGGCACGATAATCCTTTTGAGGCACAGCAGAGTCTTAAAACCAGAATGAGGACAGTGAGAGAATAAAGGATGAGAGGGAATGAGACAGAGAAGAGATTACTGAGGGTCTTCAAGCAAAACGCTTTAATCAGGCTCATATTATCAGTGTGCAATGAATGTAAGGAGCAGGAATACTGTGTTCATGTTTGTGTGACGTTTGTGTGTGTGTGTGTGTGTTTAAGAAGAAAGAGGAATTTCAAATGACTGAAGGAGCTCTGTCAAAGGGTTTCATTTGAGTGTGCACCTACAGTGAGAACACCATAGATCATAGAGTGCTTAGTGTGTGTGTGTTGTATCTCAATGTCAGTCTGCGTTCCAGATTCTCCTCATGCTCTCCTCAGTTCAGACTGTTTCTCCTTCA